CTTCCTTTTCAGGTCCCTCAAGAAACAACCTTCCACGGTGTGGGCAGCCGGGAAGTGATAACCGCCCTCATACCCGCAACAGCACACGAGACAAAATTGTTCAAAATCAAATCCTTCCTACATTCCCTAATACCTCTCTTATATCCACAACTAACTCTTCTCACATTCATTTATTACAGTGCACAGCTAATGCAAACGATGCGAGTTTGCGAAACGTCGTTCCTGGTCTCCTTAAACCCCGTTCCAAACTACATGTTGGAGCATTCAATGTACGGACATTGTGTCAAATAGGGCAACAGGCATCATTAGCTAGGACTTTAGAATCTCGTTCCATCGATGTGTGCTGCGTCTCAGAAACGCGCATACAGGATCCGAGTAGCATCACTCATTTGACCTCACCATGTCAAGATAAAGAAGCAGCTCGATTTACCCTTCGTGTATCCGGTAGCCCTGATGCTGCTTCTAGGGGCCTCGCCGGTGTAGGTATAGCATTGAGTCGTAGGGCAGAACAATCTCTCCTTGACTGGATCCCTGTAGATAGTCGCTTGTGCGCCGTCCGACTGAACGGGACAGTAAGGACTCGGAAAGATAGGGACACTCGCCGTTGCCTCTTCGTCATATCAGCCTACGCCCCCACTGACTGCAGCCCAGATGATGTAAAAGATGAGTTTTACAGAAAGCTTTCGGACCTCCTCCAAAAAGTTAAGCGCTCTGATATAGTTATAATGGCTGGTGACTTCAATGCACAAGTAGGTAGACTTAATGAAAATGAAAGACACCTAGGTGGATGTTACGGTCTCGCGACTCAAAGAACAGACAATGGCGACCGTCTGTTGCAACTGTGCTCAGATAACCAACTATTTCTAGCAAACACTAATTTTAAGCATAAGGAAAAACACCTTTTGACCTGGCGACCCCCGAAGTCGTCTCAACGTTGGACACAACTAGATCATATCGCCATCAGCCACCGATGGAGGGGTTCGATAGAGGACTGTCGCTCGTTCTGGGGCACATGTTTAGATTCAGATCATGCCCTAGTGCGAGCACGTATTTGTTTGAGGCTTGCTGGACGTAGGAAAGACACCGTAAGGAAGCCTCTTAGGGCTTTACTTGATGATAATCAAGCTAAGGAAATATTTCAGGAGGAACTAGAAAAACAGTTAGGCGGCCATGCAAGTGATTCCCATCCTGAAGCAGGTTGGAATCATATCAAGAAGGCAGTGGAAACAGCAATGGTATCTGCTAGCAAGGTAAACCACAATGCTAGGATGAAGCAGTGGATTTCAGTCGCATCCACCGAACTGATGGATGCTCGAAAACGCATCCCACCTGACTCTGAACATGATGAAGAGCGTAGTCAGCTTAGGTGCAGACTTATAAAAAGCCTACGTAACGACCGTGAACAGTGGTGGGTGGCGAAAGCAAAAGCGATGGAAAAGGCAGCGGCGATAGGCAACACTAGACAACTTTTCCGCCTTATCAAAGAAACCGGTATTAGGAACCCGAATGTAAGTGAGACTATCTCGGAAAAGGATGGTCTTATTATCCATTCTCAATCTAGGAGGCTGGACCGATGGGCAGAACACTTTAGGGATCAGTTCAACTGGCCTTCAGCCACTCTTCGGTTGCCCACGATCTCCAGTCATCCTGAATGGCAAATCGATTTAAGTCCTCCCAGTTTACATGAAGTTGAGAAAGCTATAGGAAATCTAAGGAGAGGTAGAGCGGCAGGTCCCGATAGGCTTACCCCTGAGATGTTTAAGGATGGTGGTCCAGTTTTAACGGTTAAACTGACCGAGATCCTAGGTAGAATCTGGGAACTGGAAGCAATCCCATCTGACTGGTCTCAGTCGCTAATTGTCCCAATCTACAAGAAAGGACAGAAGTCCTCTTGTGACAATCACAGGGGAATAAGTTTAACTAATATAGTTTCTAAATTGTTAGCCTCGATTATACTTAGACGTCTAACTAGAGCTCGCGAAGAGCAGACTCGAGAAAACCAGGCTGGTTTTCGACCTGGACGTGGTTGTATAGACCACATCTTCACACTACGACAGGTCCTGGGACACAGACACACATTTAGACGTCCGACGATAGTCGTGTTCCTGGACCTTAAGGCGGCATTCGACTCAGTGGATCGTGAGGTTCTGTGGCAGTGTCTGTCATTGAAAGGTGTACCAAAGAAGTACATTAACCTTATACAAGTACTCTACTCGAACACCACTGGTCGGGTGAGAGCATATGGCGAACTGTCATCTGAATTCTCTACATCAAGTGGTGTCCGTCAGGGCTGTCCACTCTCTCCATTCTTGTTCAACTTTGTCGTAGACATCCTCTTAGAGTTAACATTAAGCTCGTCAGATTTTTCAGGGGTTGACCTTCTACCAGGAAAGTCGCTTACTGATCTAGAATACGCCGATGACATAGTTCTATTCGGTGAAGACGCTGACAAAGTGCAGAGTCTTCTGACTACCATAAGCAACAATGCGAGCATGTTCGGGATGCGGTTTACCCCCTCGAAATGCAAAATGTTGCTTCAAGACTGGGTTGCTTCGGCACCTGAACTAGTGATAGGGAGTGAAGTAGTCGAGCGTGTAGATCACTTCACTTATCTGGGGAGTCTCATCAGTGCTGACGGTCTGGTGACTGACGAAATCTCAGCTCGGATACAGAAAGCTCGATTGGCTTTTGCCAACCTGCGTCACTTATGGCGTAGGCGTGATATCCGTTCGCTAACCAAAGGGCGGGTGTACTGCGCAGCAGTTCGTTCCGTTCTCTTATATGGCTGTGAAACATGGCCGTTAAGAGTAGATGTTCGTAGGTTACTAGTATTCGATCATAGATGTTTAAGAAGAATTGCTCGTATATCGTGGGACAGCCGAGTAAGCAATGCTGTCGTTAGGAAACGAGTACTAGGTAAGGATGGCAGATCAATCGATGAAGTGGTGAAACTTCATCAGTTGAGGTGGTTGGGACATGTGTTACGTATGCCTAACCACCGACTGCCTCGACGAGCTATGTTTTGTGGTGTAGGAGTAGGTTGGAAAAAAGCTAGGGGTGGCCAGACCAAAACATGGCAGCAATCCATGAAGTCATTGACAAGTGGACTGAGTCATGTTGGTAGATGTAGACTACCTGGTTGGGGTCCGCGAGACGAAAGTCATCAATGGTTAGAGACCTTGAACGACATGGCTGAAAATCGTTTGCAATGGCGCAGGTGCATCCACTCTTTGAGCTCTCTCAAATCCTAATCTTCTGGATTCGTCAATACCTCTGCCTTTGTCTTTCTAACCTTATCTCACTGAATTATATTTTTTGAATAATATCTTAAACCCTAGTCTTCTTTATTATAACATTAATACCTCTACTATCTTTATCACTATGGGATTTGATTTGACATTTGCGTCTCTGTGCTAATAATGTGGTATGGCAACATGAACTTATGTACATACGTACGAAGTTCTACGTTGCAACTGACTGACTGACTGACTGATCAATGATTGATTGATTTCAAACGTGTACAGAGAATAATTTTCGTAACTCTAATTGAAAATAACGTAAAATTTGATCACTAGTGACTAGCTTTGTGAGGAAATTCTCGGAGTTCTAGTTGAGAAGACGTGACCAGTGGAGTTCAACCTTGTCGGGTGTAGGCAGTAACTACCAACCGAAGACAAATGGGTGAGATCGCGTAAAATCCCTAGATCAATCAGAGTTAGACATTAACACCATTGAATGTCGGCCCAGTGGTCCAATCGTTAGGCGTTCGTGCACAATACCGAAGGTCAGTCAGTCAGATGCAATGTAGAGCTTCCTACGTAAGTACATCAGTTCATGTTGCCATACCACATAAGCACAGAGAGATGCAATTGTCAATTCAAATCCATTAGTAGAAGAGGTAGTAAAGGTATTAGAAGTAATCGGAGAGGTTAGGATTATAAGATATTATTCAAGAAGTATGATTCAGTGAGATAAGTTTAGAAAGACAAAACTAGAGGTGTTGAAGAATTCAGAAGATTAGGATTTGAGAGAACACAAAGACTGAATGCACCGGCGCCATTGCGAACGATTTTGAGCCATGTCATTCAAGGTTTCTAACCATCGATTATTATCATCTCGTGGACCCTAACCAGGTAGTCGACAACTACCGACATGACTAAGTGCACTCGGTAGTTGTCGACTACCGAAGGTCCTCGGTTCGAATCCAGCAAGGCGCAGGAGTCGTGGATGCTCACTGCTGATGAGAATGTTAGGATATTCATCCAATATCCTAAGATAACTATTGGTCAAAATTATGGTCGTTTTAACTGTCAAAGTCAAATACTTCAATGTTGTCTATTATCGGTCGTCTTAACAGTCAATGCCACAGAATTCGATGCTGTTTCCTATTCGACCAAAATGTATAACTACGCATTATCTGTAACATTTTATGACCACGACCAGGACCCGGATCCCTAGTCTGGTATCCTGATTCTCTTCTGGATTCGGACCTCGTACTTTCTGGATGCTTATAGAATACAGGTTCTACTTCATATGACGTCTTCTTATTTTTATCAAATATGGGGGTTGGGATAATCGAATTTGAGTAGCATGTCGTGTCGTCGGATCCTCGATCTCGTTTTCCGACTAGGTAAACTCGTAATAGTTCAAGCATATCAAGTTGACATGTTTACGTGCAGGCGTAACAGAGTCCCACTATAACAGGACAAAACAGCCGTCCAGTGCACCCAGGGGTTTCTAATGGTGGTCTAACAATGATTGATTGAGGATTTCAAATGTATAGAAACACTTATCTCCATAATTCTAATTAAATAATCTTAATTAAATTAAAAAATAACACAAAAATAATAATTATTAAAATAAAATATTATTTCTATTTTTTTTACACAATTACAAAGTAATTTCTGTACTGCTGCTCATCAATTACATTGTTATTCATTCGTATGATGATGATCATTATTGACTTTCATGTTGAAAATTCATTAAAAAACACACAGTGATTATTCAGGCAGTAATAATGTTGAATTGACTGGTGTACGACAAATTGGACAAGTAAGTAATCCAATTAAATGATTATTTATTGAAAACATTGATAATTTATACAATGTATTAAAACAATCCGAACAAATTGGTGCATGTCGACAGGGTAGAAATACACGTAGATTAGTTGGAGTAGTGGTAGTAGTAGTATTTTCAGTAGAAAGACATATGAAACAACTTAACCTCCAATTATGATAAATTTTATCATTCTTATTTGTTGTACATGATGATGTGATTTGTTTTATTGGTAAACTATGATTAGACTCATCCACCAGTGAATTCTCACCATTTTCACCAGCAGCATCAAAAAGAATCTGTTGAAAAAAAAGAGTCAAATAATCACACATAGTGAGAAGTAGAGATTAATTAACTTTCATATCAAGAAACATTGATGCTGACAACATTTCAAAATGTCTACATTCAAATAAGTGAATTATGTACTTTTGCGTTATAGAGCTATGAAGATTGTTGTTTTTACACACACAGTGAAATCACGAATAAATAATCATTGTTATACTATTAGTAGAAGACAAAAAAGGAAGCATTGAAAGATGGCCGTTTCACCCTGGTATGGTGGGACTCATCAGTGACAGTGCGACTCTTGCTACTCTCAGGAATCTGGGAAGTCTCATTAGTGCTGATGGCCTGGTGACTGACGAAATCTCAACACGCATACAGAAGGCTCGATTGGCTTTTGCCAACCGGCGTCATTTATGGCGTAGGCGAGATATTCGTTTGCTGACTAAAGGATGAGTGTACTGTGGAGTAGTTCGCTCCGTCTTAATTTATGGCTTTGAAACATGGCCAGTGAGAGTAGAAGATATTCGTAGGTTATTGGTTTTCGATCATAGGTGTCTTCGAAGCGTTGCTCGTATATCCTGGACACCCGAGTGAGCAACGCTGTTATTAGAAAACGGGTGCTAGGTAAGAATGGCAGATCAATAGATGAAGTAATGAAACTTCATCAGTTGAGGTGGTTCGGAAATGTGTTACGTATGTCTAACCACCGACTGCCGCGACAAGCTATGTTTTGTAATGTAGGAGTAGACTGGAAAAAAGCTAGGGGCGGCCAAACAAAAACATGGAAGAAATCTATGAAGTCATTGACAAGTAGACTGAGTCATGTTGCTAGATCTAGGCTAACTGGTTGGGGTCCGCGAGACGATAGTCACCGATGGTTAGAGACCATGAACGACATGGCTCAGAATCGTTTACAATGGCGCAGGTGCATCCACTCTTTGTGTTCTATGAAATTCTAATCTTCTGGATTCTCCAACACCTCTAGTTTTGACTTTCTTAACTTATCTCACTGAATCATAGTTCTTGAATAATATCTTCCAATCCTAACCTCTCCGATTACTTCTAATACCTTTACTACGTTGAGTCGGCATTCAACGGCGTTAATGTGTAACTCTGATCAGTCTAAGGATTTCGCACAACCTCACCCACTTGCCTTCGGTAGGTAGTTATTGTATATACCCGACAGGGTTGAACTCCACTGGTCACGTTTTCTCACTAGACTCTCCAAGAATTTCCTTACGAAGCTGATCACTGCTGGCTTAATGGTCTACACATTAAGCGTTCACATACAGGACCGAACGCCCTCGGTTCGATTCGTGCGATTTAGCAGGAGTCGTGGATGCACACTGATATAATGAGTCGGAAAACAGGACGAAACAGCCGTCCAGTTTTCTTCTAGGTGGTCTAACAAATGTCATTATTATTAATTTTGAAGTGACATCATTCAACAAGTACAACTATCTATCAAGATTATCATCACCATCAGTATGTTTTAAATTTATTGTGATGGTGGTGTTTGGTTCTCTGAGCTGGATTTTTTGGTTGTGGAGCTTTCATTGTTCTTCTGAACAACATCATCAGCACGAACTTCAGATAGAAGTGAAGCATTAGAATCTCTCCACGTTTGACCTGTAGCTTGTTCTGCTAACCTCGATCTTGATTGGTTGCTGTTGACCTTAAACCTGCCGTTGTTTGCACATTTGTTTTGATTGTATCCCCCTTTTGATCTGTTTCTTGATCCTATGTCACCTATGATTTTCCTGATTAGTTGATAAATTGGGTCAATGTCGATGTGTTTGTTGATTGCTGATTGACCTGAGTGCCAAGCTTCTAAAAATTCCCTAGTGTTCTTTGTTCTCCCCCTACCCAGTATTTCCACATTGTTCCAGCAGAACAAGCTATAGGTCAAACATGGAGAAATTCGAATGCTACACTTCTATCTGAAGTTTGTGCTGATGATGTTGTTCAGAAGAACAATGAAAGTTCCACAACCAAACTACATCCAGCTCAGAGAACCAAACACCACCGCCACAATCATCCACCTAAGCTAAAAATCTTCTCCATCATCTTTTAATTTATTGGTCAGCGATTACATGAACTAACGATTATATCTCGATTGGCCTTTTTTTACTAACTTGCTTGTAAATGATGTTCACGTTACCATAGTGAATCGTGCAGTAGAGATAGTGGAAACAGATTTCAATATCAACTCAACAAATAAGCTTCAGTCAATTAGATTAAGTGTGAAGATTCTTTCTGTGAGTGTTCGATCATTAATTGTTTAAGAAAGTGTTACGCCTGCACGTAAACACGTCAACTTGATATACTTGAACTAATACGAGTTTACCTAGTCGGAAAACGAGAGCAAGGATTGAGGATCCGGCGACACGACATGCTACTCTAATCTGAGTGTCGCAACCCCCATTGAATAAAAATAAGCAGACTTGATATGAAGTAGAACCTGTATTCTATAAACATCCATAAAGTACGAGGTCCAAATCAAGAAGAGAATCAGGATCCCGGACTAGGGATCCGGAAACAAGTCCTGGTCACAGAACGTTACAGATAATGCGTGGTTGGGACATGTACCACGTATGCGTACCCACCGACTGCCTCGACGAGCTATGTATTGTAGTGTAGGAGTAGGTTGGAAGAAAGTAAGGGGCGGCCAAACCAAAACATGGCGGAAATCCATGAAGTCATTGACGAGTGGACTTAGCCATGTCGGTAATTGTCGACTACCTGGTTGGGGTCCGCGAGATGATAATAATCGATGGTTTGATACACTGAATGACATGGCTCAAAACTGTTTGCAGTGGGGCTGGTGCATTTATTCTCTGTGTTCGCTCAAATCCTAATCTTCTGGATTCTTCAACACCTCTAGTTTTGACTTTCTTAACTTATCTCACTGAATCATACTTCTTGAATAGTATCTTCTAATCCTAACCTCTCCGATTACTTCTAATACCTTTACTACCTCTTCTACTAATGGATTTGAATTGACAATTATATCTCTGTGCTGATGTGGTATGGCAACATGAACTGATTTACTTACGTACGAAGTTCTACATTGCATCTAACTGACTGACAGATAATGCGTATTTATACATTTAGTTTGAATGGGAAACAGCATCGAAGTCTGTGACATTGACAGTTAAGACAACCAATAGGAAGCAACATTGATAGTCAGGACAACTAATAAGAAACAACATTGGAGCACGTGACATTGATGTCTAGGAAGACCATAAAATTGACCAATAATTCTCTTAGGATATTGGATGAATATCCTAACAGAAAGATCGCTTACATTCAGTAATGACATCATGTTAGTAACACAGAGGTTCAGTAATAATATAATTATGCACAGCAATTATAATTCAATTGGTATCATCATCATCTTGAAACACATCGACTTCGATAGCCTCGAAATGTATTACTGTTAGAATATTCAGCCAATATCATAAGAGAATTATTGATCAGTTCCTATTGGTTAATTCCTACTGGTCAATTTTATGGTCTTCCTAGACATCAATGTCACGTGCTCCGAATGTTGCTTCTTATTGGTTGTCATGACTATCAGTGTCACTTCAAATGTTGCTTCCTATTGGTCGTCTTAACTGTCAATGTCACATACTTCAATGCTGTTTCCTATTCGATCCAAATGTATAAATACGCATGATGTGTAACGTTTTATGACCAGGACCAGGTCCTGGGTCCCTAGTCCGAGATCCTGATTCTCTTCTTGATTCGGGCCTCCTACTTTCTGGATGCTTGTAGAATAGAGGTTCTCATTCACATTCAAGTCTTCTCATTTTTTACTCAATATGGGGGTTGGAACACTCAGATTAGAGTAGCCTGTCGTGTCGCCGGATCCTCGATCATCGCTCTCGTTCTCCGACTAAGGTAAACTCGTAATAGTTCAAGTATATCAAGTTGACGTGTTTACGTGCAGGCGTAACAATTACAAATATGATCCCAGTTAATTTCACGACAAAAACACTTGAACTAGTTTTTTGTAAAAAAAAAGCATATAGTTGTTGATCAGTGTGTATGCAATGATGTCTCAGTAATAAAAGAAAGTTGTACAAGATTGGCGTCAATATTAGTCCTACATGGCTACCTACTTGATTCAAGGTTTTAAAGATAGAGCACAATGCAAAGTCAATGTAGGTCATATTGTAGCAGCTTAGTGTTACAGACAGACAGATACAACGCAGAACTTCGTATGTACGTACATCAGTTCAGGTTGCCATACCACGTCAACACAGAGACGCCACTGTCAGTTCAAATCCAAGAGTGATAGTAATAGTAGAATTATTAGCAGCAATCGAGAAGATTAGGGAGCAAAGATATGATTCGAAAAGTATAATTCAGTGAGATAAATTTAGAAAGAGAAAGATAGAGATGATGAGAAATGCAGAAGCTTAGAATTTCATCGAACACAAAGAGGAAGGATGCACCTGCTCTATTGCAAACAATTCTGAGCCACTAAGCTGTTACCCTCGTAGTCAAGTGTTTTAATTAATAAGAAAACATTCATTGATTTATATTTTATTTTGGATATATTTAAAAAATTAAACATTAAATTGAACTCAGAAATATTAACTTATTGACTAATTAAAACAAAATCAAGAAAAATTAATCAAAAAACTAGACAAATATATATACAATAATGGATACCGGTTCAATGAGTTAACAGATGACTACAAAATTATACTAAACTATATTTGTGGTGTGAGCTACTTATAAGTAGTATATGACGTGAGTGTCAACGTAATGTCTGGCAGCATAATATGGGGGAAGATCAAGAAAGGAAGAGTTAGAAAACAATGGAATTTGTATGAAACGAACGCATGAAGTGACAATGGATTAATGTTTTGCAACAGCAACAGTCCAGTTCGATATGATGAACTGATATTTTGCAAATGAACGATTTACGATATGGTTTTCCGATTTTACTGAGTAACTCTGTAATTTCGTTAAATACAATTCAGTTGCCCCACCTGTGTTCTCCTTCACTACATATTTAATCTGACCCTAATTCAAATGTTGTGTTACGATAGTGAAGAGAATCCACTCTCTCTCTCTCTCTCTCTTTCACAAAATTCTCTTATATGGTCATGCAAGTATAACCAACCACTTTCTGAAAACTTCAACTTACTGTCTTCTTATGAAATGATGTTATTGAGAGCTTACATCTGTTCATTTAAAGGAAATCTCAATTCGGATACAGAAGGCTGGATCGGCTTTTGCTAACCTGCGTCATTTATGGCGTAGGCGAGATATCTGTTTGCTGACTAAAGGACGAGTGTACCTCTATGCAGTAGTTCGCTCTGTCCTACTGTACGGATGCGAGACTTAGCCGTTAAGAGTAAGGGACTTACGTAGGTTACTAGTCTTCGATTATCGATGTCTCCGAAGCATTGCTCGTGTATCATGGGACAACCGACTAAGCAATGCTGTCGTTAGGAAACGAGTTCTAGGTAGGGATGGCAAATCAATAGATGAAGTGGTTGGGACATGTGTTACGTATGCCTAACCACCGACTGCCTCGACGAGCTATGTCTTGTGGTGTCGGAGTAGGTTGGAAGAAAGTTAGGGGAGGCCAAACCAAAACATGGCAGAAATGCATGAAGTCATTGACAAGTGGACTGAGTCATGTTCTTAGATGTAGGCTACTTGGTTGTGGTCCGCGAGACGAGAGTCACCAATGGTTAGATACCTTGAACGATGTGGCTCAGAATCATTTGCGATGGCGCAGGTGCATCCACTCTTTGTGTGCTTTTTAATTCTAACCTTCTGCATTCCTGATAATCTCTACCTTTCTGCTTCTAAATTTTTCTTACTGAATTATACTTCTCGAATCATATCTTCGCTCCCTAATCTTCTCCATTACTGCTAATACTTCTATTATTGCTATCACTCTTGGATTTGAACTGACAGTTGCGTCTCTGTGCTGACGTGGTGTGGCAACTTGAACTGATGTACGCACGTACGAAGTTCTGCGTTGTATCTGTCTGTCTGTCTTGAACCAGATTGGTGTTAGGCTCAGAGGATCCATCCAGGAGAGTTGAGAAAGCCCCATTCCAAACCAATGGTACATATGGGCTCTCGAATCTTCATAGGACGAATGGAGTATGAACCTACTATTGATCAACGGCCATATCTCTTTCAATCATCAACGACTGCCTACTGTTTGCCGGACGGGTCATAACCCTAGAGAAGCTACAACCAGCAGTGCTTAAACAGCTGCACGCAGGACATCCTGGAATAAATCGTATGAAAGCACTAGCATGAGGTTATGTATACTGGCCGCATTTAGACACCAAGTTGAATCAGCTATCCCGTTCGTGTACCAAATGTGCTTTAGCAACAAAAGCACCACGGAAAGTAGAGCTGTAATCATGGCCAATACCACAATCACTGTGACAGCGAATACATTTAGACTTTGCTTGTCCACTTCATGGACAAACTTACCTACATACATACATACAGCAAGTGGCCAGAAATTTTTCTCATGGAACACTCAGTTGCATAGTCAGTAAATTACGTCAATTATTCAGTCGTTTCGGAGTCCCGGAGTTGATAGTTAATGATAACGGGACATAGTTTACGTCTGCAATCTTCTCACAATTTTATCAGCAGGACGGAATCCATCTAGCCCGAGCAGCTCCATTCCATCCTCAATCAAATGGTCAAGTAGAACGCTTTGTGAGCACATTTAAAAACGCTCTAATATAATCTAAAGCGGAGGAAACCACCGAAAAGATCTTAGAGAGGTTCCTGCTTATTTATTGCTCTAGACCGAACCCTCAGACGATTAACAGAGTCTCTTCAGCAGAAGCTTTACTTGGCAGAAAAATACGAACACATTTTTGGGTCTCGTGTGCCGTTACTAATATGAAGGCTGTTGCCCACACTGTGAAGTGTTTTTTGAGGAATCTGAAAAGGAAGGTAGATTAGCGTTCGTCTTAGAGACCTGGAAGTGTGACCGCGGCGCTAAAGGGACAACTGCCTGAGGCCAGTCACGCACGGCCTTTTCATGAGAAGTTTTTAAAGCGTTAGCTCTGCTCTTGTTTAAAAGGTCTTACCGCAGGAAACGGAAACCCGTGAAGTAATGTGAGGTGTGACATTCTTAGGGTCGATCTTTTCTAACCCCTTCCTTTCTTGTGAGAAAGCAGCATCACTGCAGATACTGGTTGTCCGAAAGGAACACTCCTCTACAGTTAGCAGTATGACTTCACTCTCAGATCTTGGAGTAGCTAGCTGCTTTTAGTCTCATAGTTCTTCAATCGACCAGTCTAGCATGGTAGAACTTACAAGAACATATGCTCCAGCTAATATAGCTCGGTTAGGTCATTCATCACACGACAGGTAAGCCCGAACACTAAATCATGGTAGCAGCTACAGTCGAGAATTGATTGATGATAAATCCAATATGCAAAAAACACTGATCTTTATAACTCTCATTGCAAAAAATAATATATATAATAATCATAATATTTGACTTGATTATGAGAACAATAACACAGTTTGATTTACTTGTGGAGTGAGAAGACGGTTCCAATTAGTTTTCCAGTATGTATACATAATACTTGTACTGACTTGCTCCTCTTCTCGTATCTTCACGTGAATAATATAACAGGTGATATTCTAAAACAATAATCAAAAATAAGAGACATATATTTCAAGGTAACTACTAGTACTAAATGATAGATAATCGAATTCCAGTCTTCTAAAATATTCCGACCGTAGCTGCTACCTTGACGTGGTGGTCGGACTTGCCTATCGTGATGACCCAACCGAGATATACGGGCTGGAACATATATGTTCCTGAAGGTTATAACATGCCAGTCAGGTCAATTGGAGAACGATGAGACTAAAAGCAACTACTCAAGGTCTGAGGGCGAAGTCGTACTGCTGACTGTGATGGAGGGGTGTGACAGCAGTAAGGTGTTTCCCTCGGACAACCAGCATCTGCAACGATGCTGCCTTATCACAAGGAAGGAAGGGTTTAGAAAAGTTCGACCCTAAAAATGTCACACCTCCACCGACCTCACGGATTTTTCCGTCTCCGGCGGTAAGGGTGCCCACTAAGGGCTTTCAAGAGCGGAGCTAATCCTCAAAAAACCTTTCATAAAAAGGCCGTGCGTGACCGACCTCAAGCAGTTGTCTCCTGGGCTCTGCGGTCACGCACACAGGTCTCCAAGACCAACACTAATCTATCTTCCTTTTCAGGTCCCTCAAGAAACAACCTTCCACGGTGTGGGCAGCCGGGAAGTGACGACCGCCCTCATACCCTTAAGAGCACACGAGACCAAATTGGTCGAAATCAAATCCTTCCTTCTAAAATATGCTGAATTCATAACAATTAGACACTTTAAATCAAATCTATGCGTTTAAAAATTAAAAGCTGACATAAGTTTTTCATTATCTCATTACCATTCACTTTATTTTATTACAGTCAGTCAGCTACAAAGTAAACTTTCATACGTACGTACATCAGTTCAAGTTGCCATACCACATTTACACAGAGATGCAAATGTCAGTTCAAATCCCATAGTGCTAGAGATAGTAGAAGTACTAGCGCTAATAAAGAAGATTAAGGTTTGAAGAAATTATTCAAGAAGTATTATAATTCAGTGAAATAAATTTAGAAACAGAAAGACAGAGGTGATCAAGAATTCAGAAGATTAGAATTTGAGAGAACATAAAGAATGAATGCACCTGCGCCAATGTAAACGATTTTGAGCCATATCGTTCAAAGTCGCTAACCATTTGGTGACTTTCGTTTCGCGAACTCCAACCAGGTAGCCTACTACACCAAACAACACGGCTCAGTTCATTTGTCAGTGATTTCATCGATTTGTGCCATGTTTTGGTCAAAACCGTCTCTAGCTATTTCTATATTACGAGATTTTCTTCAACCCTTCCAATTAATATGGTTGAATCATTGTCGATACTTTTAAATTTCACATTTTTTTATCAACTAATTAATATTAATTCATGTTTTTTGTTGAATTAGCACTAGAAACCAAGCAAATTAATTAGGTAGTTGTTAGCTAATACGTTTGGCGCTGATGTTCCTGAATCTATTCACAGATATTGTGTTCGTCAGTATAAGGTTGGTCCAGATTGTTGAGTTTCATTGAAACCATAAACTGATGTATGTCAGACTACAGTTGGAAGTCTGGTCAGTCAGTCAGATACTGCAACGTAGAACTTCGTACGTAAGTACATCAGTTCATGTTGCCATACCACATCGGCACAGAGATGTAATTGTCAATTCAAATCCAATAGTAGAAGAGGTAGTAAAGGTATTAGAAGTAATCGGAGAGGTTACGATTAGAAGATATTATTCAAGAAGCATGATTCAGTGAGATAAGTTAAGAAAGTCAAAACTAGAGGTGTTGAAGAATCCAGAAGGTTAGGATTTGAGAGGACACAAAGAATAAATGCACCGGTGCCACTGCAAACGATTTTGAGCCATGTCATTCAAGGTCTCTAACCATCGATTATTACCATCTCGCGGACCCTAACCAGATAGTCGACAATTACCGACATGGCTAAGTCCACCAGTCAATGACTTCATGGATTTGTGCCATGTTTTGGTTTGACCGCCCCTAACTTTCTTCCAACCTACTCCTACACTACAAAACATAGCTCGTCACGGCAGTCGGTGGTTAGACATACGTAACACATTTCCGAACCACCTCAACTGATGAAGTTTCATTACTTCATCTATTGATCTGCCATCCTTACCTAGCACCCGTGTCCTAATAACAGCGTTGCTCACTCGGGTGTCCCACGATATACGAGCAATGCTTCGAAGACACCTATGATCGAAAACCAGTAACCTACGAATATCTTCTAATCTCACTGGCCATGTTTCACAGCCATAAAGTAAGACGGAGCGAACTACCACGCAGTACACTCGTCCTTTAGTCAGCAAACGAATATCTCGCCTACGCCATAAATGAAGCAGGTTGGCAAAAGCCAATCGAGCCTTCTGTATGCGTGTTGAGATTTCGTCAGTCACCAGGCCATCAGCACTGATGAGACTCCCAAGATAAGTCTACACATTTGACTACTTCACTCCCTATCACTAGTGTTTTGGTTTGGCCGCCCTTAGCTTTCTTCCAATCTACTCCTACACTACAAAACATAGCTCGTCGAGGCAGTCGGTGGTTAGGCATACTCAGCACATGCTCCTAGACATAACCTTATCCTCATCTGAATTTTCTGGAGTAGACCTCTTACCGGGTGGCTCGCTTATTGACTTAGAATATGCCGATGACATTGTCCTACTTGGTGAAGACGCTGACAAAATGCAGAGTCTTCAGACTACCCTAAGCAACAATGCAAGCATGTTCGGGATGCGGTTTTCCCCCTCGAAATGCAAAATGTTGCTTCAAGATTGGGTTGAATCGGCACCTGAACTAGTGATAGGGAGTGAAGTGGTCGAGCGTGTAGACCGCTTCACTTATCTTGGGAGTCTCATCAGTGCGGATGGCCTGGTGACTGACGAAATCTCAGCTCGGATACAGAAGGCTCGATTGGCTTTTGCCAACCTGCGTCACTTATGGCGTAGGCGAGATATCCGTTTGCTGTTTGAAGGACGAGTGTACTGTGCAGTGGTTCGCTTCGTCTTACTTTATGGCTGTGAAACATGGCCAGTGAGAGTAGAAGATACTCGTCGGTTATTGGTTTTCGATCATAGGTGTCTTCGAAGCATTCCTCGTATATCGTGGGACACCCGAGTGAGCAACGCTGTTATTAGGAAACGGGTACTAGGTAAGAATGGCAGATCAATCGATGAAGTGGTGAAACTTCATCAGTTGAGGTGGTTGGGACACGTGTTGCGTATGCCTAACCACCGACTGCCTCGTCGAGCTTTGTTTTGTAGTGTAGGAATAGGTTGGAAGAAAGCTAGGGGCAGCCAGACCAAAACATGGCATAAATCCATGAAGTCATTGACGATCGGACTTAGCCATGTCGGTAATTGTCGACTACCTGGTTGGGGTCCGCGAGAAGATAATAATCGATCGCTAGAGACCTTGAATGACATGGCTCAAAATCGTTCGCAATGGCGCCTAACGACAGCATTGCTTACTCGGTTGTCCCACGATATACGAACAATGCTTCTAAGATATCTATGATTAAATACTAGTAACCTACGAACATCTTCTACTCTTAACGGCCATGTTTCGCATCCGTATAGGAGAACAGAGCGAACTGCTGCGCAATTCGATACATGTCGCTTAACATACTACATTTAAATATTAACTTTATTCATTCATGGGCAATTGCCTTACTAGTTATTGAGGGGGATCCAAACCTATCTATATCAAATAGGTGACTTGATGAATACACAGGCAACCTAACAAACAGTAACACCATACTGTAGCTGTAGATGATGATAAAAACACTAAAACAGGGACATCATTCACTTTCTAAAAAAATATTACTTAAAAAAAGCACAAATACTGTGAATAAGTTTGTTAAAGGTGATATACACTTTATAATCGATTTTGTTAAACACTTACTATTTCTTCAATCAATGAATCTGAAGCATTCGAGATCAGACCAATAACAAGTGAATATTTATCTCGTTTTATATGATCAGGGTATGGTTGAACGTTGACATGTATAAATATATCTTGATTTCCAGGTCTAAGATCAATTTAGTACAAACAATAAGTACATACATACTTGACTGTATATTTTTCAACAGCATTAGTAATAATGTATTCTGTAAGATTTTTATGATCACCAATCAGCAAAGCATGAAAAGAAGACAATGAAACATTACGTAAAACACAAAACTGAACGCCTTGAATGCTAGAAATAGTTATTCGTATTGGATCACCTTAAAAAAGTGGTCAGTTAAATAAACTAAATAGTGATTTAATTCTTACCACACATATTATTGTTAGACGGTTGAAAGTTAGTTATGACAGAATTATTATTCAATCGTTTTGTTGATATATCAGAAATCATATATCCTCTTGTTAATACAGACATTCCTGAATCGGAATTATGCTCATGCAACAACCATGAAATGCTATATATATTTACGAAAATGAATGAATTATTTTATTTAAATAGAAAACATACAATTTTTCCTTCATCACTTTTATGATGACAAACAATATAAGAAAAGCCAAAAAGATTCGAATAAATAAAGCTCGGATAATGTTGGAAACATCCATTCAAATCCTAATTTCTTGTTTTTTTTTGTATTAATTTGGTATTCACTGAGTACGCAACACAAAGCAAAAAAAATCAGCTTTAGCTAGTAAAGTGACCTTTAACAAAGACAAAAGAAAAAAAAAATTAAGTCAGTTATCACTTAAAAGTGTATTTCATATTGAATCAAAAAAGGATGTTGACATTTTATTAATACATTTAATTTTGAACCATGACATTTAACATCTCTAACTAGCAGTTACGATCGTATTGCGGATCCCCAACCAGGTAGTTTACACCTATCATCACGACGGCTCACTTCACTTGTCAATAATTTCATACGTTGGTTTGGCCGCTCTTAGCTTTCTTCCAGCTTACCTATTGAATAATTTTTTTTAAAGCCAGATAAAAAGCTAATGCAGATTAAGAACAATGACCACTATTCATTTTAAACATGAAGGAGCACTAAACGCCACTTTTAATATTGATTTGTTTATTAGGTAGTCGAGACAGTCGTCTTATGAAAAGATCTGATAAATTTTCAAGGTGAATCGCCTTTAAAACTTTAGTAGAAGTATGCCGTAATTACTTGCGGTAGCGAATTTTTTATCAAGGTAACAAGCTGTAGTTGAACATTAATTACAATTTACATTTGAATATGCAAGTGTATAATAAACTGCAACTAGAAGCAATGGTTACTCAGTTGTAAATATACTTTGGAGTTAAATAGCGTTTCAGGCACTCAAAGTATGATAGCTTTCAATTCAATCTGGTAACGTGATCTATCGCCAAGTGTCGGTTCCGCTCAGAAACCATCCACATAAATTAGTGGAATGCTTCATGAAACAGAAGCTATGCAGCCTAGTAAGATGTTTTGAATGAATATAACTTTAAAATTAGTACAAGTTGTAACAACCGTTCTTTTACAGCTTCATGTCTTATTAAGAGAGAATGAACATCTTTATTTGGAGGTGACGAGTTGGGAATTAATGTCACATTTAGTAGGCAATACATTACTATTTTCTACTAATAACTGATTTAATAAGTGTTATGTTTAGTGGTGGGGTCTGTGAAGTACCTCGAAAACTAGACTAAGCTATGTCAATAGGCTATACAATTAAAATTTGATTAGTGTAAAACAAATCTAAGGAAAGTTTATCTTATTCTTGAGTATCGTTTTTGTGTACTAGAATTTACTGAGGTTGAAACTAATTTTCCATGAATACTCAATTGTTACCTTTGTTGAGAGGATATTCATCTAGCCAAGGACTTGAGAAAAACTTAGATTATCTGACCTGATTCCAAATTATTCACGCATCGTTTAGCAATAAAATCCACAAATGGCAGATAGGGAACGATCATTTCATCAATAACCTAATTGATATGACGTAAGCATTACATTCGGGTTTTGGTGGAGTGATAGAACTGCAAAGGTAGACACATGCCACAAATAACTCTTAAATAATTATTAAATTCAGATGTATTTCTAAGTTCATTATTGATACATTATATACAGGTGCTTTTTTAGTAACAAACCCTCTAAAAAACATTGGATTGACCATTAACAGAACAACTCAGAGTAAACTTTCCGGCAAATTCTCCATATTAATTTACAGTGTGTGACATCTGAAGTGGTAAATCTACTTTTTATATATATATATATATATATATATATATATATATATATGTATATATATAACATGGAAATAGTAATGAACGGATGCGAATTTCAACCTAACGAAAATATCAAGTAAGTAATGTTGTTACTCTGTGTATCGTTAGTAAACTGTATACTAAAGCAGTTTATGCAAGAATATCCAGTAATATTGACAGAAATATCAACATTTTGAATCGGTACACTATAGTAAGAATTACAAACATGTTTCGTCAAAGAATGAAATAGCGCCACACAGAATCCAATCCAATATCCAATATCTTTTTCACGAGCTAGTGTAAACCAATTTGATTTCTTCGCGCTCGATTCTTGTTCTTTCGGTACTGTTCCAGGTGTTCGGTAATGTCCAATGAATGGAGGTTTAGCCACTGGACTGTCTAATTCTAGTCAGTTGGCAGTTGGTTGTGAGTTTGTATGTCTCGGGATTTGAATGAAACGTTTGTTTCAGGGCAGTAGGGTTTCTGGATACTAGCAGCCGTCACTTTACCAAACCGGAGATCAGTTAGTTGCAATGTGGAGAGTAATAAGGGTAATAAGGGTAAATTAAAATGATAATATGAGTAAAATTTCCAATATCTTTTTCACGAGCTAGTGTAAACCAATTTGATTTCTTCGCGCTCGATTCTTGTTCTTTCGGTACTGTTCCAGGTGTTCGGTAGTGTCCAATGAATGGAGGTTTAGCCACTGGACTGTCTAATTCTAGTCAGTTGAGAGTTGGTTGTGAGTTTGTATGTCTCGGGATTTGAATGAAAACGTTTGTTTCAGGGCAATAAGGTTTCTGGATGTCAGTAACTATCACATTACCAGACCCGAGATCAGTTAGTTGCAATGGGGAGAGTAATAAGGATAATAAGGATAAAATTCTAATGCTAATATGAATAAAATTTCAGAACTGAGTAATATATAGATAAATTTAGTCTATTAACTGATAGTGAAGATTGTGAGAGAGGATTGAAGTGTAAGCAAGGGGGAGGGAGAAGAGATGAGAGGCGAGATAGATTAAGTAAGTGATCTGAGGAGATGGTAATGATAACAACTAGCAGGTCTCAAGATATGCATCAGGTGCAGCTTGTCCTTGAGGGAAAAGATTATCGTATTTGAGTATGTTTTTATAAAGTCTCTATGTAAAATCCTGTCAATTGAGAAAGCTGTTATCGCTTCGGCTATGTGAGCATTCCAGCTGACAATGACGCCAAATGAGCGAAACTGTGCACGAACTTGAGAGTTCGCTCATTGATACGCGATTTTAGTGGAGATAGAGTCGTGATTCACGATTGTGAACACTAAATACTAATTACGATCCCGTCACCGAGAAGATAAATAAATCCATGTTGAAGAATATATTTGCTGGAGATTTCATGGTACCGAAAGAACACCGAAATCGTGCAAGAAAAGAGCTGGCGAATTAACAGAGACGGTGGAGCCGAAATAGCAGCATCACAAACAGAACGTTTGTGATAAAAAGTGTTATAGACAGAAAGTACAGATAGACAATCACTGGTAAACTGGTTATGATAATGCATGTTTCTATTAAGCCAATCGCGTTCTCTTCATAAAAGAGGAATCACGGGACATACGAACTCACAAACAACTGCCAGCTGACTAGAATCAGTGCAGTCAAGTGACTAGACTACCATTGATTGGACACTACTAAATACCTGAATAAGAATCGGGAACTAAAAAATCCATTGGTTTATTACGGCTCATAAAAACGATATTGGATATATATTTTGCCCCTCTTTTCTTGTACAATTTCTGTATTCTTTCGATACCTCGAAGTCTCCAGCAAATATATTCTTTAACATTCATTTATTTATCATCTCGGTGACGGGATCGTAATTGATATTTAGTGGTGACAATGGTGATGGATAGCTATAATATAATAGACTCCGAGGTGCTGTTCATGACATTGCCGCCTGTTTTCTTCCCGTCATCCCAGGTTGCTCGTTTATATTACGTGGAGTAACACTGGGTACCTAGGTGCTCAAGTGGCCGTCGTATCGTCTGGTGGCAGCAAATCTTAAGCTACGACTCTTCGACTACGCTGTGCGAATGGCTGCCATTCTTAACTACGGTACACGACAGGTAATGATCAACCTAAATAAACGACGACAGTATCTGTGGACGTTCATCCCAGCTGATGTTTACACAACCTCACGCAGTGCTGATTCCCTACAGCTCTATGAATCGCTGTTCAGTTAAGGTAGGCTGCAGATAATCGATACTTCGTCGAAAACAAACCCATGGGTTTTAACGCTGCAATAGATGTGTACAAAATAACTGGTGTACTTTTTGACATGATCATTTATTTTATGTTGTATTTGGTAAGTTCCCCAAAGTAACTACACCAAGAAGAATTGATCGGTGATTAATTATGTGATAAGACATACTGTCACCCACGAACCGCCAGTCACAGCAAAACCTTGCTGACTGGCACTGGACAAATTATTTTTCTAAGTCAGAGTTTGACAGTTTACTTGCTGTATATACTATTTCATCTTCCTCAAAGTCCTTAGGCCTCCCTTCTCCACTCGAGTTTCGAAATAGATGGCATTTGTTGGAGATTTTGTGTTCAATGCTCCGCCTCTGAACTTGTAAACATCACAAAATTGCATCTGCCCAAGGAATTTTTTACACCTTGGAGCAGCGATTTTACGTATATCAGAAGAAGTCCAACGACTATCTGCGTACATGAGAACGCTGCCACTTTGGTCAACCCAAGTGCAGCATCGACAGGCCGCTCTTCTTCAAGAGTTGTTTACCTGTTCCTATGTTTTCAGACGAGTAGATTCGGTACATCAATCGTCATGACAGCCTTACGAAGGACCTTTTAACGAGATCTATTATCACGAAAAGACCTTGAAGGTTGATGGACATAGTCAGCATTGGTTGTTTCAAATCAGCACACCTTAATGACTGTGGCCCAACGGATAATTGAGATTCAATGCTAGACCCGTCCAACTCACTAGCGGAATCCCTATTTCTCCTTCGGATCACACGCTAGATATATCAAGATACTCATTCTCACGTCCAAGTAAACAACACGATTCATTCGCACCATTTACTAATGAGATTTCAGTCTCACGTCCAGATCGGCAGACCACGCCGCACCTGAATCCGGATGAGACTGAGGGCTCACAAGGTACGTACGAGACTACCGTTTCACTTTCTGGTCACCGTATATGCCTACATGTACGCTTTCACTCAAGCTCTTTTCAATGCACTTAGCCGATGTTTTGATTCCGAATATGTCTGGCATAAGTATGGTCTCGAAATTCTTCGTTATGGCCGTTTCTGGTTCCTTCGCTCAATCTGCTTCCGTCCTACATTTGCAGCCTTATCTGGTTC